ACACCGAACGTATTAATCGTTCGATCCGATAAAAAAAAAAAAAAAATTAACCAAATATTAAAAACGCCGGTGATTCTAACCGGGACGACGAAAATCTCATTATTGTAAATTACCGGCGTTGACGACGATAATACGAAAAGTAATAAAGTAAGTTTACCTACACACACGGTCTCGCGTACACGCAAACGGCGCAGCCGTCGATCGACCGATCACACGTACACAGTGGCAGTCGATAAACGTGCCGTCGTAATACCTATATTTCCGCCCCTACATCGTATAATGACATTATTCGTACTGTAGGCCGGTGGTTTATTAATTTTTTATTTTTTATTTTTTTTCGTACAAAGGTTAACCTCGTGCACGTTCGTAACGATATCATTACAAAACTAGGCTAACGGTGCCAGTGTATCCCGTATGCGCGTAACGGTGTCGAAACGAAATAATTTTTTGAAACTACATATTCTAGTGAAAACGAATACGCGCCAAAGCGTTGTTTCGTTACGACGGGAACGCAGAACTTTTAACGGAAATCAGTAGGTCCACACACGTCAGCTCCGAGGGACGAGGATACGGTTATTTGTCGGGTTTATGGCTTTGTAACGTAACGTGTGGAGCTGTGTGCACCCCATCAATGTATACTTTCGACTTGGTGCAACATATTTATCAAATTCGTATTGATTTATACATTTTTTTTTTTTTTAACTCGTACGTTAACCGGGAAATGTTTTTGTTTTTTTTAAACGTGTTGATTTTAATGGTAATTAATTGATGTATATATATATATATATATATATATACATTAATTAATTAGGAATGTTCCGTGAATCCGCATTGTCTGCAGATTAAAAAAAAAAATCCAAATTTCGGATATTTATTATAAGTCTGTATTGCACGATACAAAATAAAACTCTAGTTGTGATTAGCTGAATCGTATAAACTTATTTACAAATAAACAATTAAACGCGTTTATTTAATCCCGATAAATTTGTAGTTATTATTATGACTTAATTGTAACTAACGCATAAAAGGATCTTAATTCAAAATTTCAAAATCCAAAATTAGAGCTTAGAGCAAAATTAGAATTTTAGAACCCAAAATCCGGATTTTTTCCGTTACTACATTTAATATTAAAAGTATTTATTATAATGTATTATAATAGTAACAAATATCATTAAAATATACGGTGGTTGTGCGTGTTTTTCAATCTTCAATTTTTTTTTTTTTTTACACCAAAATAGTAATTCCTTCAATTTAAATTAGTAAAATAACTTCCGGGCAAGGCCGAGTAATTCAGCTGATATACAATATTCGTACTTATATACATAAATTAAGTGATTAGCAACTTGATAACATATTTTCATATTCTTATTCACATTGTAAAAATTAATTATATAGTTCGAAGCATACAACATTAAATGTATTAAGATATAAATTATCGTAATAATAGTTCGCAATATGTAGCAGTATGTCTATAAATTACATTGAGTCAGGATGGATGGATGATTTTTATTGAGAATTATTTGTATGCGAGTAACAACTATGTCATTAAGGACGTTGACGAAGTTACAAATTGTTTGTTCAACACTTTGGGGTAATAAGTATTTAAAAATAGTTATATTGTACAAGAAAATTGTATAAAATATAATCTACAAGTCTAATTCAATCAAATATTAAATAACCATATTTACGTATAGTAAATGTTATTATTTTTGATTATTAAGTATTCATAGTAATAATATACCAGTATATTCAGCACTTATTTTATTAATGCGTAGGTAGTTTTTATTATTTCAAACATATTAATCATCAATCGTCAGAGTTGAATTTAGGTTATAGAGTGCACATATAAAATATAAATTATGAAGAGAGAAAAGTAAAAAAAAACCAAAGTCCAAAAAAGTAACAAAATATAATAAGTAAATTTGTGTTATAATAATTGAATAAATAAATAAATAAATCGATAGACTATTTATCATCATTGTTATTAAACACGTATTAAACTATTTAGTAATTATATTAGTATTTACAATGTTGATTTTATTTTTGTACGAGTATATCAAAATCCGAGTAACCTACTGCAAAAATATCGACCTCGGTGACTACACCCATTGCATTTCCAGTAAATCTAGTCGCTAATGTTATGGATTTGTTGGACACCATTTTAAGCATTTTACTATTGTATGTTGCGCATACAGTTATCTGGATGTGCTTGCTTAGAAATTCGACCCGGGATAAAACATATAATTAAACCCATAATAAAAAAAAAAAAAAAATTAAAAATCCGTAAGTTTATGACGTTTGAAAATTTGTTCCGGCCAGATAATTTACACGTTATGTAATCACACTTAAATCGTAATTATACTCGTATAAATTATGGTCTGCAGTTATACATTTTAGCGAACCATTACTAAGTGTAATAATTGTTGATATAATATTACTTTTTTCACAATATGCGTGGTATATGTTATAATATACGTCGTTTATGGTGTGGACATATTTTTGGAGAGTTAGGGGAGGGTGAAACATCGGTAGACAAATGCTCGAGGCGAAAGCGGACAATTTTTTAATACGTTTTTTTTTTTCGCTAATATTGTAATGCACATTGATAATGGATATAATATTATGATGCAGCTATATATTATGCGTATATTGGACATTAGCAAAAAATGATAGGGAAGTATAGAAGGATGGCATAAATTTGTAGCCCAGGGACGCCGAAACTCTAAGTGTGGTAACTAATTATGTAATAAGGATACAATAGGTTACTAATGTATTCCATAAATTTTTTATCGAGAGAACGGGATTGGTCGAAACTTGAAAGTACTTAAGACTAAACAGTGTGTGTATTATAAATATACTAGTTTGAAATAAAAAGTTACATTCTTTTAATTACTGCTCGTAGTATGTTATACACACGCAATCATAATATAAAATTACGAATATTATATTAGGTTTGCCATAATCATAAAGAATGTATGGAGCTCCGGCTGTCGCGATTCTTCGTTCAGTCGTCTCAAAAATAAACAACCTTATTATACCCCGGTAATACGTTAAAACAATATAAAAAGGCGATTGTATATTTAATCTTGAGGTAATATCATAATACACACATATATCTCTTCGGAAAAAGGCGTGTTAACTTTTTAATAACCGTATGTATTATCATTACAAATATACAAATTATAGCTAGGGAACGGATTTATATGTAAATGCATATTTTTATTAAAACGAGATATTTAAGATTCGATAAGAAACGTTTATGATTTAAAACATTCCTATTAAAATTATGATACTTTTATTTTACATATTTTTACATATTTTGGTATAATTACATATTTTTACAGATTTCACTAATTTTTAAATATTTTTAAACATATTTTTATCATTTCATCATTCATACGTCTTCTTCGTACGAAAATACAAGAAATTATTTCAAAATTAGATCCAGAAACTTTTATCGCTATTGGAAAAGCTCAAAATATTAAGCAAAATGAAACATTGAAAATAATTTAATTTTAATTAAAAATAATTTAACAAAATTATTAATAAAAAATATGTCCCCAAATGATAGTATGCAAATTGTTGAATCAGCGATTAAAACTCGTAAGCAGACCAATAGATGTCGTAAAAAAGAAAATTCATGCTGTTACAGAAAAAAATTCCAGGCAATATTGATTTTAAAACAATCAATGACATAATGCATGGCAGACAACCTTTTAAAAATTTGGAATTATCGCCTTCTGATAGTATGCACTTGAAATATGTTTTTAATACATCGGTTGATGTGAAACGATAATTTAGCCGTTTTAAAAATATTTTGATACCTAATAGGCGACATTTAACATTTGATAATTTACAAGATATTGTAATAATACAATGCAACAAATCTTTTTGATAATTTAATAATAATAATCATTTTTTTTTTAAATTTTTTTTCCCCACATATTTGGATGTTTTTAGCACATATTTTATATATTATACTTACATATATATGTACATATTTCTGTATTTTTATTACATATAAATCCGTTCCCTAATTATAACTATTGGAGCGTGATAACCAGCATATAATCGTGTACTTAAACTGCAAAACCGCAAGTATACGAGTATAATTGGAACAAAAAAAAAACCCCCCGAAATGTTTATTTAAATATGTTGTATAATTTTTTAGAAAAATATTGTCTTCCGATCGGCTACCTCGCCTTATTTTACTGATAAAAAAATAAAAAAAAAACAAACCCCATAACAATTTCAAGTCTTTATTCGAGTTCCTTCGCATAATAAATAATAATAAGTTCTACACAATGCGCACGGACTGAGGTAGAAGTGGTGCGCATATATGGGTTAGTGTGGAAAATCGAATCGAGAAAAAAAAATCAAAGGTCATTCGTTTTTCTTTGAGTAGCTCATTTTGACAGTCGCAAAGAACTGATTTTTAGGACAAACGCGCGCACAAGCTTTGAAGTGATTAATGAGGAGCCAACCCACCAACAGTGTTAACTATAATCGATCGTTATCAAATCACAATCGATCGTGAGAATCCGTACAGCGTGGAAACGTATCGGAAACATCACCGGGGACAATAACGATCAGTGGCGTGTTGAACTAATTTTTGGTGAAGAGCAAAAATGTATACACCATAAGGTACCCCTTATTCATCCTAATGGCATTTCCACCACTGAAAAACATATACAATTTAAAAAATATACGTAAATTAGACTGATTTGTATAATCAGTTGTGCTTACTTAATTATCTAGTAAATTTATTACACTCATTAATTATCTTGTATCTTGATCTATGCAGTGTATGTGAATTTTGAATAATGTTTTTAACATTGGTATTGCAATTAGTTAGTACTAATTGTTTCTAGTGTAGCGGATCATGTACAGTATATTTGCGCGCTAAATATTTACTATGAATTAAAACATTTAATATGATGTTATGTTATATATCTATATTATTTTTATACTTATTGTTAAGTATTTTTTGGCAGGGGGACCATCCACCTACCGAACATTTTGAAGGAGCAATTGCTCCAAAATAATATCAACACCACGCCACTGATAACGATCGTATACCAATGGAACATTTGACACTGCAAACGGTACGAACGTATTTTGAAATGCGCATCTCCGACTGAAGTTAGACGACGGTGGTGGTGGTGCAACTGAAGCGCGTCCGTCCACCGCCGACGCGTTGTACTGCTCGATCGATATGCGAAGTTACTTCGACCGTTCGGACTCGTCATTCGGTTCCCGGCGAACCGGTTGCAATATCACGCGGCTCCTCGCAGGTTTCGCAAGGGACCCGGGACGGTATTGCGATTCGGGTCGGTCAACATTCGCATGAACGTTCAATGATCGGCGGGCGGACAATAACGGAATCTTGATACGAAAACGAACACGTCGATTTATACCGCGTTGCAGTGGTATCGGTACCGATGCAAAATCATGTAATCCGCTGTGCTAACCCACCTCGACGTTATCCGGAACGATTTTCAATTTTGAGCCGTCGCAAAAGTGTTTGGAAATATTTTTATCTCTACAACATATACGTGTGTTATTTTATACGCGCGAGCCGTTGGCCCGTTCGCCGCGCCCTCGGCACTGTACCTGTAGCGACCCGAGAGAGAGGGAGAACTTTTTTCGACAGTTCTTTGTTGCCTTTAACGTATTTGCAGGACTCCGCCCAAGTCCACGTTACGATTAACTCGACACCAAAGTGTCCGGAAGCAGGCGATTCCGTCCGCGGGGCCGAAGTAGACGAAAAAACTCTCGCGCACAACCGTTTTTACCGTACAAGTTTAGAAACACGATTTCTGATTTCCCGTCTCTAGTCTTTCGCGGGGACAGACAGTTCGATATCGGTAACAGCGGCCCCCCCCCCTCACAGGCGTACCAGGGACACGGACGGCAATCCTGTCCGAGCGTCTGTAATTATGGAACGACACAGTGACGCGCTAGCAACTCTTTTGAAACATTCGTTTCTCGCGTCAGGTCTACAGCGAGTCGTAAAAATGTATGTATATACTTACGGTCTTGGCTACGGTACGAGAAAAAATCGCACGAAAAAGTAAAAAAAAACCTTCGGCGGCCGCAAACTTGAAGGCCGCGGTGGATTTGTTCGTTTTGTATTTTTCTCTCCGTGCGTTCGAGGGTGTTACCGTTCGAGGCGCGCGCGAAAATCCGCGGAATCCGGCTGCACTGCGCGGCGTGGTTGATTTTTCGAGGTTCGGGTCGTAAAACGACGTCGCCGTCCGCGCACTGATAACCGTAATCGTCGCCGACCGTATTCAAACGTCGGCCGCTCGAACACGGCCGTGATGTCGACCGTCCTCTGCTGCTTCGATTGACCCGACCGTCAGACAAGTCCGTCGAACCGTATCTTCGCAGCGGCAGCAACTCGGCCGCGATGACGAAACCCAGACGTTCGACGGGACCGGCCGTCAAGTACCGGTCGTGCGACGCTTGCCGGTCCACGATGTACTTCACCGACTTGGAGGCCCATTTCTCGGGCCCGTGTCCGCCGACCCCAGGTCGCTGGACGCACGCGCACGTCAACGACCGCCGTCTCTACTCGTTCGCGAAGCTGTACACGAAAGGTTCGCTTGTTGTTATTATCTGTTTTGCATTCATAACGCGGCGGTCGCCTAATACCGTCGTCTGCAACGCCGCAGCTTGGAAACCGTTTATTTTTTTCAACGTTACCGTATTACAGACGACGAGTACTTGGTGGGCAACGACAACGTGGTCGTCCCTGTTGCTGCGATTCAGCTGTGCGGCTTTGTGCTCGGCGAACCGGTCATCGTCAGGAGCGGCTCTAAAACTCTCATCAAACACGTCTGGCCGTCGGACGATTTGCCGTTGTCGAATGTATATTTCTCCAAAGAAGGTTTGTTTTTCATTGTTTCGTAGGTTTCTTTCTATGACCGTAAAGTGATTCCACTTCTAATTTGTTTACAGTATTGATGGACGAGTTGGAACAGTTGGAGCACGTTTCAGTCGAGCGTTTTACAGTTCTTCCCAGTGAAGCGCATGACATAGAAATACGCTTGAAGGACAGTGATCAGCTTCCAGATGGTGAATTCGAAAGGCATCTGTTAACTCACATTTCTAATAAATACGAAGGACGAATTATTAAACAGACTGATTTTTTATGTTTTGAGTTCTATGGACGTAGTCTCTTCATTGAAATTACTAAAATTAATACTTTTCCTAATATTGAACTTAATCATAAAATGCAAAGTATGAGTATAAATAATGAACAGTTTTTTCATATTTCATCTTCTACCACATGGAGTATACAAAATAATCATAGTAACAATGATAAAAACATGTACCCTTTTTCTAATGTTGGTGGATTATCAAATATCTATGAAAGAATAATGAACACAATACAAAGTACAAAGTATCAAAGTAAACAATTGAATATAAATATTAAAATATTTTTTTCTGAGTTATGTTTCTAATGTACATTTTTGTTTTAGATGTATGTGGCATTCTTTTACATGGTATTTCGGGAACTGGAAAAACATTATTAGCAAAAACAATAGCATATTCATTAAATAGACATGTGATCGAAATTAAAGGTTGGGAAATTTTAAACAAGATATATGGACAGACAGAAGCAAAGTTAAAAGTATTTTTTGAAGAAGCAATAATCAATTCTCCTAGTATTATCCTAATCGATAAACTTGAAACATTAAGTAAATCAAATGATTCTTCTGATCTAGAAAGAAGGATTTTAAATACATTACAGACACTTTTTGATTTCTTAAAATCTTCAAATCATAATGGAGTAGCTGTATTGGGTACTACTAGTGATTTGAGTTCTGTAGATAGCAATTTGCGCAGACCTGGAAGGTATGTTTAACTACTAGTATGCTTAAATTATCTTACAAAAAATGTAATTGTTTACTTTGATTTCAGATTTGATTATGAGATTGAATTACCTATTCCTAATGAATTACAACGTAAAGATATTTTAACTAAACAATTGTCTTCCATTCAACAAAAGAAAGAAATTGGAGAAACAGAAATTACTTCTATTGCACATCAAGCTCAAGGATTTGTAGGTGCCGATTTATTAGCTGTAGTAAACCGTGCATTTACAGAAGCAGCGGTGAGTGATGAAGATATTACTTATAAACATCTGTGCACCGCTCTGACTCAAGTGAAACCTTCAGCCATCAAAGAAGTTATAGTTCAAGTACCAAACGTAAGGTTTTTCCTATAAATAATAACTATGTGATAGTTCAATAGCTTTTAGCTTATTTGATTATTTCAATAGGTCAAATGGACAGATATAGGCGGTCAAGATGATATAAAATTAAAACTAAAGCAAGTTGTGGAATGGCCACTTAAACACCCAGAAGCTTTCAAACGCATGGGTATTACTCCTCCTCGTGGAGTATTGTTATATGGACCTCCCGGTTGTTCTAAAACAATGATTGCCAAAGCTGTGGCAACAGAGAGTCACTTCAATTTTATCTCAGTTAAGGGACCTGAACTGTTCAATAAGTATGTTGGAGAATCTGAACGTGCTGTTCGTGAAACCTTCATGAGAGCTAGGAGTGTGGCTCCTTGTGTTGTGTTTTTTGATGAGTTGGATGGCCTAGCAGGTGAAAGAGGCGTAGGAGACAGTGGTTCTAGTGGAGTTCATTCAAGAGTCTTAGCTCAGTTATTAACTGAATTGGATGGTGTTCAACCTCTAGGAAATGTCACAATTTTGGCTGCAACTAACAGGCCAGATCTTATTGATTCTGTAATTATTGCATACACTATTTATTTAAGCATAAAATAATAACTGAAAAAATTACATTTTTCTAGGCTCTTCTGAGACCAGGAAGATTAGATCGTAAAGTTTATGTTCCATTGCCTGATAAAATTACCCGGTTTGAGATATTAAGATTAAAACTTTCAAAAATGCCAATATCATCAAATGTAGATATTAATAAATTGGTTGAATTTACTGAAAACTATTCTGGCGCAGAAGTAAAGTTTAAAATATTTATATCTTAATATTAAAAAATACGTTTTGAATATTGTTCTTAAAGGTAATTTCAATCTGTCATGAAGCCTCATTAAAAGCTATGGAAGAAGATATAAATGCAGATCAAGTTGAAATGCGCCACTTCGAAGCATCGCTTCAATCATTATCACCCCAGACTCCATTATGGTTATTAAAAATATATGAAAAATTTTCTGGTATCAAAAAGTAAGAAAATACTTTTTATTTGTTTAAAACTGATTTTTATAGAAATAATTTATTCATACTTATATAATTAACATAACAATTCATGACATGCTGGGACTTAGAGCAAAGGCATATGAGAGATGAAAATCTAGACTAAATTAATGGAATGTCCTTCACTATGGTAGTGAATCACATATTTTCAGTCAAATTTGTCTCTCAGTTTTGCTTTGAATAGTACAGGTAGTAATGACAGGCTAGCAAATGTTGCCAAGAGTAGTACGGAAGACCAAGACCATGAGCTTGTGGTTGAAGTAAGTTCATGTAGAGTTTGTCCAGCTTGTACAGCTAATACAGATGGCACTGCAACTCCTATATGATTAAAAATAAATGTCTATAAGATTACTTATTACTTAATCAGAAGATAAATTTTAATTTAGATTATTTTTAGTTAATTATAAACATGGGCTACCATATGTGTTATGAGGAGGAGTAAAGCTTTTTTTTTCAAAATGTTATAAAAAATATTCTGTGGTCATAAAAATTATATTTACCTAATCATAAGAGGATAAATCATGTATTTTTATACTTATTTCATATGGTCACATAGGCAGCACTTGGCTCTTATTGTCCAGAGGGGAGATGAATCATAATTTAATAGCCAATTTTAAAATCTACTCACATTCGACTTATGTATATATTATACGTTTTTACTTATGTGTATGATAACTGATAAGACGATAAGTATATCAATTAATACCAATGTAATATGTTATGTTTTAAAAGTGTTGATTAAAGCATTGATTAAATATACTGCATTATATATATTCAATATACATTAATGCATTAATTTATGGTAATATTGATCTGTCTTAACATGGGGAATAATTTTCTTATATAATTATACAAACGTAATTTTAACATAAATATTTTATAAAAATTAAAAATTGTTTAAATAATATTTGACTTAAGAAGGAAGGGGGCTAAAATAATAAGTTTGCCCCTTCGTGCTCCCCTATCAAATGCTACATATGTATGGTGATATCTAAATATTATAAATAATAATATTTATTAAATTACAATTTTTTTTTATTTTTCTAGAGGGACTGGGTTAATTGGCGTTCATCATTGTTAATATAATTCATGGCATGAAATTATATATCCAAACAATAATAAATTTTATTAAAAAAAAAAATGTATAACATGCTTTTTTACTTTTATTTTGTTTAAATAATTTTAATGTTAAATTAATTGGAAATATAGTAAAATTTGTTCGAAAAAAAAGAAAATATTTTAATTTTACAAGTTTAAATAATTTAAATAATTACCAAAAAATGTTCCCAACCAAAATGGTATAATTGGAACGTCAACTAAAGGTGCACACACATTTATAAACCAATTAGGCAAAAATGGAGTTATTCGCAGAAACATAATGTAACTGAACATGTTGTCATTGTGTTTTTTCACCTAAAAAAAATATAACATTGTGTGATATAATTCAGCTAATAGTATACAGACATCCACTTACTAGTTTTGCATATGACTTGATTCTATCAGGAAAATATCTGTAAGCTAATCGTCTTCCGATTGTCATGGATAATAGGTAACAAAATGAAGCACCCATCGCTGAACATAAGCATATGATTGTTAATGCTAATAAAAATGGGTACAGAAATCCACATAATATTGATAATGAAATTGAACCAGGTATTGCAAATGTTTGCAAACTAATTAAATTATTGGTCAAGGTAAAAATATTAATAATTAAATGTAAATTTGAAATTAATTTTAAATGTATTCAAAGGATACAATATATAGCAGAAAAAAATTGACATGAACACTTGAGTATAATAAGTATCCTTGTAATGTTCCAAAACTTTACCTAAATTTTGGGCATCTTTGATATTAAATGGGAGCTTAATATATTGTTTTTCCTCCCTTAAAAAAATTAATAATATTTATAAACACTACATTGAATTAGTCAAGATTCTATTACTCACTCTGTCATGTGTGGGAAACTATAATACAAATAACCTAAAATCAATAATGACGATATAAATATAGCCACCAGTATGAATACTGCTTTTGTAGTGGACATTGTTTGATCGTATTCAAACTTTGTTTCTATTATTGACTCCGGACTGTCCATTATAGATTCTGTAATATAACCACAACATAATAATTTTTTTTTTTTTTTTTCAGATGAAATTAGTTCTGATATCAAACGAAAACTATTCTACGATATTATTCAAAAAGAATCAGTTGTTATTGTTGTTAAGTTCAAATATTGTTGATGTATGTTAATTTAGTACTATATATTACCAGATTTATTTTGCACATCTTGGTCCACCACAGCCATGTCTTAACTATTTTTTTATAATTTTTTTTCCCCAAATTTTATTCTCTTTCTATTTGATCCAGTATTAAAATAGATCTATTGAAAAATCTGTTGAAGAAAGAAAACAATTATTTGTAAACGGATGACATAACGTCGTCGTTCCATGAAACGAGTGTCGACTCTTCACGTAACATATTTGATTTATTAGCTTTTTTTCGTAGCCAGAATCAAAGATTTAATGATAACAAATATTGTAATGATTAAACAAAATAGTAACGATGACGTTATCATAACCGACGCGTTCTCGCACGATCTGCAGATGAAAACCGCTCGTTGGGCGGATCAAATACGCTTCGCACCACTGTCGAGACTCCGCAGTCTCGCATAACTGTCCGCTTCTATCACAGAATAAATCCGCTGTTATCATTTGCCGTTATCACGTCGCGAATTGTAATAAATTTTCCACGGCGGTCTGCGGCGTTTTTCTCATTTTCGTTGTGTCTTCTGGTTTGTTGTCCTCCACATGTCCGTGATGCAAAAGTGCGTCATGATTCGGCGGACAGCAAACGCTATACCGATCAATTACTACCAGAGGACTTGGTGTTCGACCAAAGCAGCAGCGCCGACAGGTGAGCTATAGCAAACCATCTCGGCCAGTTTTGCTTTGACCGGAGATGCATCAGAAACGGTTTGCGAACCGATGCAATTTCATCGTTCAATACGATCCGCAGCGGTTAATGAGTCGACAAATACAATAACATTTATCGAGTTTATTGGACATCTTTTTAAAAATGCAAACGTTTAAATATGCCTCTTTTTTTGCCTTCATTTCTTCTAGTCTTCCTATACTGTTTAATTTGTTGCCGTCAAACTCATCTGATATTCTAATTTAACTTGTATCCGTAAAAGCTGGAACGGATACAATACTGGATACTTTCATTTTTTTTTTTTTTAATAAATGTCTGATCAGGATTTTGGGCATGGAAGCTCTAATAAAACTTACATGCATTTAACCGTACAACATTTTATCACTACTATTCACAATAAATGAGATATCAACATTTTCAGATGAATTTCGTGTTTTGAACTTGAAGAAAAAATTTGTTCCTCCACAATCCAAAAAGAAATATACCAAAACCTTATTGTTACCTCCTAGGTGAGTATGATTTATTCTTTGTATTACATAATTTTAACCTTTAAATTATATAAATAGTAAAAATGATTATAATGTAAAAGTATTTTCAATCATCATTCATTTAGAACTCCCTTCATACTTGATTTTTAATCTCTAATTCAGTTGATTTATATAAAACAAATTTTGCCAATACTAACATAATTGTTGTTATGAAACATTATCAAATGTATAGTTTTTAATTGACCTATGTATATTAAATGTGTATTATTAGCATATATTTATAATCAAGTGCATACATAAGGGAGGTTTAGGGATTCAACTCCCTTCCCCCTAAATTCAAGGAAATTATTAAATATGTTTTTATTTTGGGAGTGTTTTAGATTATATGAGAATGAAAGGGTACAACCTCAAACTTCCCATACAAATTTTTTGTATTCACGCCTGTTTATGATTGATTTAAGTGTTAACTTATTATAATGTATTATATGTCAATTCGTTTAAAATTAATTTAATAACTTACTTGATTTAGTAGACTTCCTAGATTCTTGTTACATATTTCGATTATGTATAAATATCATGTGATGTGGTATTTTATCATTTGACTAAATTATGTGATTGATGAGAATAGAAATAAATGATGTCATAAGTGAGTTGGAGATTATTTTAATATAATAATTACCATTAAATCTATAAGTTTTTAATTGTTAGGCTCATTAAGAAATTATATTTCCTTTTATGATTCAGTATTTTAAATAGTTATATTATAAATTGTAAAAATAAATATATATTTATATATATAAAGAAATAGACGAGTGAGATTATGTTTTGATGTTGAGTGTGGTTCAAAATTCAAATACTTGAAAAATTTGATTACCTACCAATCTGTATAAAATGTCATTATCATGATGATAAAATATCAAAGCAATAACAACCTATTGTTATTAATTTAAACCATCAAACTTTCTAGGATTTCCTATCGTAAATATTTGGATCTCAGTTATTTTTCAATAAAGTAGTGAAATAAACACGAGGACTTGATAAAAATCTAATATTTGATTAAAGCCAAATAAATACTTGATTAAAGTCGAGTACTCGTATTTACGAATACAATTATTTTTGTCTAGTCTCGACTTACTCAACTCATAAAATTTTACATGTCGAGTACTCGTTCAACTCTTATATATAATATTTGTTAAATTTTGTGTTATTAATTTGTTAAATATGTTTATATTTGGTTTTAAATAATTAATCATTTCAAATTGATTAGAAAATATTAGTGTTACCTTATGTTTTATAATATTTTAAGAGAAACAGCGATGCCTGTTGATCAAGATTGGACTAATGTATGGCCAGGTCCAAAAACATTTCATCCAGCCTCAGTGCCTTTGGCTCTACGACAAGGGTATGATCAGAAAAGAGCACCACCAGGCAAATATGGTAATGCTGAGCTAATGAAAATTCCTAATTTCCTTCATCTTACACCACCGGCTGTGAAAAAACATTGTAGTGCTATAAAAAAGTTTTGTACTGAATGGCCGAAAGGGTTAGAAACAGATGAAGATTTCGATAAACATTTTCCTATGACAATAATAACAACCGATTACTGTCATTCATCGCCAACTATTAAAGATCCAAAAGCCAGAATAGTTACTATAAAAGTTAGCAATCATAAGAAAATAGTTATTTTTTTTTTTATATCAAAAATATTGTTTTTTTTTTTTTTTTTTTGTTAAATAGGTAAAATTGAGCGCATTCGATTTAGACAAACACGCTAGAGATAAAATGATTAGATTAGTTGGGGAAAGATATGATGAAGAAACTGATATACTTACTATTGTCACCGATCGATGCCCTACAAGGAAACAAAATTATGACTATGGAATATACGTTCTCACAGCTTTATACCATGAATCTAATGTTTGTATTACAGCAATTTAGAATAGCATTAATGAAGACTGCTAATTTTGTTATTAATTTGTTTTATAGACCTTTGAAGAATGGGAAAAAGAGAAACAGGAAGCAGATATGGAGCACTACATCTGGGACAATAATGTCTCCAAAAAAGCATATGTTGCATTAGTTGAATGGCCAAAGAAAGTTTCTGACGATGATGTTAAATCGTTTTCTATTGAAAACGATTTGGTGGGACAAAAGTACAAAGATGCTGTAACAGAATTATTAAACAATGGTAAAATAAATGTTTATTAAACAAAATTGTTGTCACTAGCATTAATATAAAATATTATATGTTTAGGAGAAGATACATATACATTGAACAAATACAAAGAAGCAGTAGTTGGCATGTTATTACCTCAAAATGCCCAGGCATAACTAGTTTAAAATTAGATATTTATGTTTAAATCATTATTTTGTACAATAATATTAAATTTATTCAGACTCGACCTCTTCTTTGATTTTTATTGGTAATCTATCGCCCCATTTACTCGATCGTGCACACCAATAAGGAATTCTGTAACATAAGAATTTAATATTGAATGATTATTTTTAATGTAAATCGATCTGATTATGTAAAATGCCATGCCCATAAACCATCATGTTAGCTAATGTATACCAATTATGCAGAATTTTTGAACTTCTTATTATTTTTTAAAAAGAAACAATTTTTTTAATTGTATATTTATACAATCGTTACATATAAATCGATGGGATATAAATATTTAAATCAGGGTATTAAAAACTCTTATTTTTAAAATACCAACATATGTTCATAGCATCAGCACCTAGTTCTTAAATATAAATATTATATGATTATAATTTTCAACAATAAAATTAATTTCCGTTCAGTTTAAATCATTTTAAACATAATAATTGACCAGTTATAACTTAAAATACGTACTTTCCATTTCTAGCAGCAGTGAATATTATTTCTTGCAATTTACCACTACTAGTACACATTCGACAAATGGAATGTTTAGAACGTACTAACACTGGTCGCACTATTCTGGGCCACTGTTCATCTGTTTCTGGTCTCTCTCCTGTAATAAAATTGTGAATAAAAATAAATCAATGTTAAATATGAACTAAGATCAATTAAAATTTACTAGCCTTTTTTAATCACTATGTAAGAAAAATGTTCTTTTTTGATAGTAGATTGTTGACTTATTTTCGGTGTATAATAAGTTACTATAAAATTACAGGGCGTGTCATCAGTATCGTAACGGGGACAAGAGTATTCGTGGGCACACTGTAAAAAAAATGTTAAAATGAAATTACTACACAGGTTAAACTAAAAACATTAAAAGTGGTTTTTAAAAATGTTACCGGTGAAAACACATGACTTTTTATGTTGTTTTGAGAAGATATTTCAAGGAGAAGATCCCTGGCTTCATTTATCAAGTTGAATCCTGCTCTTGTTCCCATTTCAACGAGTATGATATACTGTTTCGTTTTATTCCACAAATTCAGTATGGTTTCAAAACGATTTTTAATGTCTGGCAGCTCAAACAATGAGTATGCAGAAACGACGAGATCAAACTTCAACTGAGCAGTATACAAATAATTATTAAGAATTGTTTTTACATATCCATTTTATCGAAAAGTGTGTGTGTTGCATACATTTGGCGATGCCGGTAAAAATTGTCTATAAAATAAACCTTTGGGCAAGATTTGATTGTTATTTGGATTTCCTTCTTGCAAGAGAAGCTTGGACAAATCATTCATAGTTGATGACGTGTCTACACAATAATATTCTTTTAATGAATTGCCCCAGAATTTTATAGCGTTCCTGAAAACATTTTAACTGTCAATAGAGAATTATTAGAATCGTGTAACAATTAAAATGTTGAGTATTTTATGATAATAATGTATATTTTAGTTTTTTAAAATTATTGACAAATTACAAGACTATGTATGTAATTTATACGTTTAGTTGTTGAAAACTATTGTTAATGTAGGTTAAATTTATTTTATATTATAGTCAAATCAAAATTAACTATTATTAAAAGCTATCCATTCATAGTTGGTCAGGACTTTTTCAAATTTCACAAATAAATCATTTTAATTTAAAACCACATTCAATATAAACATAATGATGAATCATATTGATTTATCAAAAAGGAATATTAAGATTAAAAAATAATTATAAGTAAAATTAATACAATTTTACATTTTTAATTTCCAACACCAGTAATTTTTCACACCATCAGATACAACACTTTAATTGCAATGTACAACTGAATAATATAAACATACATGGTGACTGTACCAATACCAGAGCCGAAATCAAACAGGCTTTCAGGTGAAAAATTTGGATCTCTCTGTTGTATTTCATTAAATATCATTTGTATTGTATTATACTCCGGAGCAATACGAGACAGCAGATATTGATGACATACGTGTTTGTTATTGAAATCAATTGGTTTCCAATTGTATGTTCTTTGTGCTATAAGTTTTTCAGCTCGGTTGTTAATAAACTTCTCCAACCTGATTTCTTGCTCAGCGGTGAGATTTTCTTTTTTATCTGAAAATTCCTTATAGTTTTATTTATAAATAAAAAATTAAAATAGTTTTTTCAGGGGCTTGAATAAACTTGAAATGTTTGAGTAAACAAGCTGAAAAATCGTGCATATAATAATATGTTGTACATACATTTATCTTCCAATTCGGCTTGATGAAATTTCTTTTTTTCAATTTTTTCACTAGCTTCAACTGGGCTGTGCCTGCTATGCATATAGTTGACCAATAGCTGGCTGTCGGTCATCAAGGATTTCAATTGAACGTCTACAACAACATTATTATTACAATCGGTAAGAGCCGAGATAATGTTGTCGACCCGGACACTTTGTAAGTGCTAATCGTTTTGTTCCTGACCTTTAAGGGTTTTAACAATGGAAGCGATCAAACTGTCGGGCAACGGATTGGCGATCACGGTGCACCTGCCGGGATGTCTGCGCGCTTTGATTTCTTCGCGCAACACCATCTGATGTACATCTTCGTTGAAGACCGTCGTCAGTTTCGTTTTGGTCACGTACTAAATTTGCAGAGAACAAGAACGGACGATCAGAAAACGGAAACCCTGTACCGTGATGGCGGGGGACGAATACTCACGGATCTCTTCAGGAAACCCGCCCGAGCACAGTTCATCGTGGTCGTAAGCGGGCAGAGGCGAGTGTTCGCAGCAACGCTGGTGTTTCAAATATTGTTGTTTTCTCGCGTCCGTTATCACACGTGGGCACTACCATTATCATTACCGTTATCTTTTATCTGTGGTTGTCGTCCCGACCGGCGTGCGATACGCGCTCAGAACATATACCAGTACATTTTTGGACAATAGAATGATACCTAAATTCATAGACGTATAAAGAATTGTGTGCATTGTTATTAAGGGCCGGATTTATGTGCACAAAAAAATCCTCAAAATATGCTTCTAGATATGCTGTAATATGCTATAAAATATGCATTTATTTTTAAATATGTACTTAAATATTCACTTAAAATGTTGTTTAAAATTATGTACAAACATGTGAAATGTATTGTAAATATAAAAATAATCATTAATTAATACGGTATTAAAAAAAAGTATAAAAAAGCTTTTAAAATATTTTGTCGTCTTTGTCGCCATTTAACATTATTATCTTATATATTATCTTATTATTATATTATATTATATTATATCTTATTATTATTATCTTCAATCTATAAAGTATAAATACCCACATTAATAAAAAGTGAAAACAAAAATTGAATTCATATTTTACCTTATTACATTGGATGTGATATGAGTATGTAATCTTATCTTTGGAAATGAACACCGGTCGCAATTTTATCGATATTGTGTGGCAGTGATCGTGAAAATTCGACGAAAACGAATATATGTGCTATAAATAATATAATAATGTGTATTATAAAACTATAAATATGCATTGAATATGCATTTAATAGGTAAAAACGTTGAAATATGCAAATTAAGCAAAATAAAATTAGTTTTATTTTTTAATAAGAAAGATCTGAATCGGGGACAATGCTCATCAGATTTCAAAAAGCTTATTCCAGTACATATATGCATTTGCATATAAATCCGGTCCCTAATTATAATTATGTCCGTGCTATGAATATATTACTCAATTACCTATGGATACGCGTTTTCTTATCGTCCAAGGCTTATATCACGGTATTCGCAGTGGTCGAAATGGCTCGAGATAAGTGAAGGGATGCCTTATAATTCACATTTCCTGATATCATCATAACATTCTTCACACCTTGTGTACCTGTAACATTTTTATTTTTTTCTATAGTTCACATAAAGTATATTATCTTAGTCCGTGGCTCTAAATACGGGTATAATACGAGTTGCGAAACGGCTTATACTAAACAACACGATAAGCCGGGCGCCCGGCCCTGAAAGTTAAAAACAATTATTTTCACTGAAAAAAAAAAAAAATGTCTTATATATAAATATAAAAATGATAAGTATATCATTTTAAAATACAAGTCTTAGGAGGAATGCGTTATTCTAGACAAAACAAGTAGAGGGATGAAAAATGTAAATACAAAAAAGTAGAGGGATGCCATCTCACCGTATCCTCCCCACTTCGAGCACTGGGTATTAAAGATAATGCTTGGAATAACAGTTTTAAAAATCCTAATGCGGTTTTTATAGAAAACAACATGTTGACCAAAACCGTACCTGTTAAACTGCGAATTCGTGTCCATCATTCGAGGTATTTCCACGTTAAACGCGTATTGACCAAAGAAACACAAAGATATCTTATATAAGATATCTTTATATGTCTATGACATAAAACTTGCTTATCAACGAACGGTGCTTCGCAGAGGAGCGTCTAAACACAGGAATGCACCTTGTGCAGTATGCATGAACAAATTTGTCACCATTATGTTTGGCTGTTATTAATATACCATATCAAATGGTCCATTTAGGTCCATTGCCGCAACAACCAACTGCCTCCATCTATCTCTATCATGAGCTACTTCTTTTCCGTCGTTTGCTCCCAATTTCGATACATCTTTTATAATCCTGTCTTTCCACCGCTGTCTGGGTCGTCCTTCTTGTGTTCGGCTTCCAGCTCGTGGCCAATCCTATAGGGCCTTCGGACCTTCACACATGTCAAGCCTATCCCAGTCTACTACTCTTAAGGACTCCAATTATATTTGTTTCACCATATAGTTCTTTTACTTCTCGGTTTATTCTTAATTTGAAGTTCCCTAGAGTGTTTCTTTTTGGCCCAAATATCCTTCTAAGAACATTTCGTTCAAACGTAGCTAGTCTATTTTCATCCGTCTTTGTTATTGTCTATGCGCCACAGTCGTATAGTGCTACCGGTCTATCAGAAATAACCTGCCCTAACCTCAAATTATACTGATTCCTCTCCTCCATACTTAACTTTACATTTCGACCTATTCACACCATAGATAATAGAATCTTCTATTATCCATGATCACATATGCTCGAATAATTCTGATTATCTTTCTTGGTATCCCCAATTGCTCCATTACTTTCCATAGTCTGTCTCCTTTTCACTGAATCGTATACCACGTTGAAGTCCACAAACAGTAAATGGACATCTTCGTCAAACTCATGGCTTTCGATTATCTGTTTGACAACATGGATTTGGTCCAGAGTCGATTTTACATTTTCACACACAATATTCTCCAATATTTATGGGGAAACATTATTGTAAGTATTATGTGTTAAATTTAATTGTATAATACAGCGGTTCTTAACCTTTTGTAGATCACGGACCCCAGATGAAAGATTTTTAGAAATAGCGGACCTCCTTTTTTTTTATTTTAACTAATTTGACTAATTTTTTTCAAATACTTTTTTTTACAAAACACCTCATGTTATTAAAATCAAAATTATAATAATTATTTAATTACATTAATAGACATAACAAAACATAGATATTTATAATTAATTTTATTTCATTTACTTTTTAAGTTAACTTGAATTTAATTATCTTAGTTTTAATTTCTTTTTTCAATATTCTTAAAATTTAATTTATATTAGCTTAATACAATGGTCGAGACACAAGTTTTATATTATCGTATAATGATAAATCTATCTATTATATAATAAAAAATATATGAAAAAAAAAAAATAATAATATTAATCCAACAATATTATAACAATGCACTCATGGCATGTATTGATGTACATATGTAATGTGTTAGGGCTGCCGCGGACCCTAGAGGGCTACGGACCACGGGTTAAGAACCACTGATATAATACAAATAATTTCCAGGAATAAGCGCTACGATCGTAGATCTAGATGTGATAAGAAAATTGATCGTACAAAAATTTTTTCTGCCAAGAACCGTTCGTTGCTTATCACCGTCCCGCGCTCTTCAACCACTCGCCACGTGTATAGAACCGCGTCTTCTCTTCCATGCCTCGTCCGTCGTTGTCCACCCGATAAGGTGGCCACCGTCGGCCGTCTATTGGTCGGTTTACACTCGTTTCAGGGGAGGGGGAGGTTTTTTTTTTATCAGTCAACAGCGCTCGCGTGCGCCCGCAGCGGCAGCTGCTCGTCCACTCGTATCGATTGGAGTTCGTGGTTCGCAAACGGCGGGCAATTTGAGCGCCTTCTGGCCATCGACCGTTGTACGCTGACTGTTGGTTGTTGACGCGGCAACGAGCAGCACCACTACTCGGACCCGAAAAAGGATATAAAGAATTAAAATGAAATTTGCCGAGCATTTGGCCGCGCACATCACTCCCGAGTGGAGAAAACAGTACATCAGCTACGAAGTAGGTCATGTCAGGCTCTGCAATGTTCACTTTTTCCCCGTGTCGTTCCCTCCGTGGTCATGTCGACGGGATAAACGTCTTTGGTTTTTGTGTGTTGCAGGAGATGAAGGAAATGCTGTACGCTGCTGTCGAACAGGTGCCAGCGCCTGACCAAGTCGATCCGGATTCGCTGTCGCGTTACTATGCCAAATTCGACGAAAAGTTTTTCAGCTTTTGCGACAAAGAACTCGCTAAAATCAACACTTTCTATTCAGGTTTCGAACTGCATTTACGATTTTGTTTGATATCTACAAGCGTATGTTTCTTCGCGTTCCTGTATTATTGCTCAACACCGTTCTCACCTAGTGTTGTACTTATCACGTCTTGTGCATGTTACGGCCGCATGAATGTTACAATATACCACTTGTGCATATCCAATAAACAAAAACTATTCACACAACATTTTTCCATTTTTTTTTCCTGACTTTTTGTCTAACACTATTGCCGATTCAACTATCTGATGGTTTTGAATACAAATATTTAAGATTTATAAAGAAAACAATACTTCTAGTAAAGAAGCTCATGGTTTTTCCTATTAAGAATGGGCTGTGAAGAATTAAATTTGTTTATTAGTTTTTATTTTATTGCTATAACTAACAAATGGAATACCATTTTATTTTCCAGCTGACTTGGTCGTTTATCATACCATTTTTTTAAATGTTAAAAGTAGACCAACATTTTAGAATTTTTGATTAACAATAATTAGACCTCTTGTAAATTAAAATCTTATTTATTTAATTCAATTTATATAAACTAAATAAAATTAAGAAACTTATCTAAACATTATTTTAATTTTAGTGCGGTGTATTGACTTATTAATAGAGGTGCCTCAGTATCATATTTCAAGTTATTTAAAAATATGTGGTGTTAAATAATATGATGAAAGTTTTAAATGAATGAGACTCTGAGACTCAAAATAAATATCATATATTAAAAAAAAAAAAAAAAAGAAAATGCTTATTATATTTTTTGGCAAATCATTCATTTACTTTAGACTAGAAATTTATTTTAAACAAACCATTTGCAAAAAAACTTATTTTTACCAACACCATTTTATTATTGTATTCAATATTAAACATCCAATGAATAATGTAATGATATAATTTCAATTTCTATATAAAATACACATTTAATTTGCTATAGTAATTTACGTTTAGCAAAAATATTTATATTCGAGTGCTCATGGAACAATACCTAATAAGTATATATGGCATTAATAACTTACTTGTTGAAAATTATTTGTTACTTTTTAACAGTTGAAAAAAAAGTACTTACCTTACATAAACGTTGAAATATGGTGATTGCCCATGAAAAACAATGTATACTAAATCACATTAAATGCACACAATAGTATTCTATTTGTTTTCATAAATACATAATATGATGCAACTGTTTTTAAAAGTCAATATGTTTTGTAACATTTAATGACCATTGGTTTTTGGTTTTTTTTATAAACAAGGACAAAAATTTAAAATTGAAGGCCCAAATAATTTTTATATTCAAAAAAAAATTAGAGTTATTACTATAAAACATGTGTAGTTCCACTTTCTCAATTTTTCACCTTGACTGGTATTAATCGACCTTATTGGTTTTTATTTATATAATTTAAAAATTGAACAAGGTATATTTATACGCATTATTTTATTATAATAGTCAAATTTGCACCTCAGTATTTTAATATACGCAAAAGAAAAAAAATGTCCATTACAATAATAATATAGTTAACTTGTAAATTCTTTATGATGAAGTGTTCAGTAAAGTATGTATTTATTAAATCAAATTACAATTCACAAAAGCTTCAGACAATTTAAAATGTTGATACTGACAAAGGAAGTGAATAAAAGCAAAGTAGTTAGTTAAAAAAATTAATATTTCCCAGTGGATTAATCAGTTTCAAGTTTAAATAAATATTTATTTACAAAATGATTAATAGTAAATATTATATTTTTTTTTATTTTATATTATATTACATTGAGGGCTAATGCCCAAGGTGCAGATATAAGAACAATAAACTGACATATATTAAATAATATAATTAAGTATTATTACACAAAGACTAGAGAAGTTCTCGTTTGCTGGTCACATACAAGAAAATGAATAAGAAAATGTATAAAAGTAAAGTGTACTTAAATTGACTGTCATTGAGGTCAACTGTATATATAGGTATATATGAATTTACTAATATCTATACTTAAACTGTGGATTCAAAAATATATGACATTAATTTAAATATGTTATCTACTTATCAAACCATTGATAGTAATTATTCTAGATACTTGGTAAAAATTCAATGTGAATATTATAAGAATTGGCAATAATTATAAATGTTTAAAGTCAATTAAATTTCATACTCGTTTCTCCTCATTATAAGACTTACTTTGATTGTTGTGTTGATAATAATTACTATTTAACTTTATACTATTTTATATCAAAGGTATAATAGGTACATACAAATGTAATTGATTTACATATAATTGTAGTATAGTTTATAATTAAAAAATAATTGTTTTTATAGTTGTATTGAAACTAATATTATTTTTCATTATAATATACTGATTAATATGTTAAAGGCTAAAGGACGTCACGCGAAGATATAAAATGTTTAATAATACAATTAGTGTATCCCTATTAAAACAAATATAAATCTTCATTTTATTTCTCTTGCAGACTTTAAATTGTGCTAATGCCGATTTATTAAATTAAAACGAAGAACATGTTCCTTCTAACAAAACATAAAATTAATAGTTTTCTTAAGCAAAATCATAACCGTTCTTAATTAATTCTACTTCATTAAGTAAGACCTTAACTGTAAGAGGGATAAAGTTGTGTTATTATTGGACTATTCGAAATTTGTTCTAGATCAGGTACAGCCAAAGGCGCTCATCAAGAATTAAATTTGTTTTCGCTTACCGCTGTATAGTCCACTGGAATCGAATAGGAAAAAAAAAAACGAAAAGAAAAGTCTTTTACAATTTTTATTTTAATTATTTCCTAAGTTATTGAAATCAGCTTACAGCTAATTTAGTATATTCATTTACATCCACATGTTACATATACAAAAACGATGTATGAAAATAAAAATGAATATCTACTGATGAACTTAAGTTTCAAATCCAATCAAGTACTTTTATTACGTAGTAGCAGAGAGCATTATTTTCTACGAATAGAAAAACATTCAGTTAATCAAAATGTTCTCAATGCGAATGTATTTTACGACTGTACATATATTCTTTATATATTGACCTTTTTTTTTATTTACCATATGTATCTAATAATATTTTATTATGCTGTTTGAATCACTAAATTTACTCTTTAAATGAGCCCGCGTGTATAATAATAATAATAACAACGATTCGTGAAACGTTTTTAATGCCAGATTCTGTTAAGTAACTGGCGAGATATATTTTCGTTTCTTTTTAGAGACTATAATCGTTGGCAGCAATCGCCCATACGTACGTACTCATGTACGGTATACATATACACATTTAAATAGAAAACACAAATTCGGAAAAAGATTTATTAATAAAATACTGTATTAAATTTGTCGACCATAGCAATTATGTTATTTACCATCTTACCTCGGCCAAATTTTCAATACGTCTTATCCGCCTATTCAAATAGATCTTGACATATTTTTCTAGTAAAATATGTTACCGTATGTTAGAAATATGATGTGTATTTATGTACTATCCGATTTCCATATCAAAACACATTTTTGAGAAACTACGGTTATTTCGTTTACCCATAAACCTTGCATTATTATTAATTAGTTTACCGTAATTATTATTGTTTTACAAATGGAATATATATGTTTTGATGTTTAGAGTTTGATTTTGTTTCATACAATTATACCAATATCAATTTACAAGTGATCGAAGAAACTCGACTTAATTTATATACAGTATAATCCGCTTATAACAATCTTCAAGGGCCCTCAAGAATCAGATCGTTACATCCGAAATGCATTGTACCCGGTTGCCAAAAACATTACCAACGTGAGATATAAAACCAACAAAAATCATGGCTAAGAATCGTTTTATCCGGAATATCGGAATATATACAGCACCGTAATAAGCGGATTACACTGTAAAATTATTACGTGTGTATATGAGTACAGAGAAAAACAACATCAAAAGAATTTATAGGGTTTAGAAAAAAAAAAATCGCAAGTGAAGTAATTTTTAGTTTAAAACTATATTTGTTTTCATTTTTTGTCGAAGCAAAAGACTTGGATAGCGGTTCTCCTATGTTTTCTTATTATGGGGCCATGATGATTGTCATCGATCTCTTATATGCTTTGTTTTGCAGGTCGAATAATTGTTTACTTAGATCAAAAAAAAAAAAAGAAATCAAATATAAATTACAATTTGTTTAAATTACTAGATTTCAGTATACTACTGAAAAATGTATAAACCGGTTGGAGTAGTCAAGTTAGTTCCTAAAATTAATAAAATAATAATAGTAGGTGATTATACTTAGTAAGTAATCTATACTTATACTAATTGAGTTGAAAATCGGTCGTTAAAATATATTGAGATAATTTTATTTTATATAAAATACTAAAAGTTATGCGACAGTAAAATAGTTTTATGTTGTATCTAGTCTAAAACAACGAAAAACGAATCTTATAACTAGTGATGTAGTCCTAAAAAAAGTCTTGAGTATATGCCAATTGTTAGTAAAATGGGTAAGTGAAGTTAATTCCTATCCTTCCACACATTTTTTATCCATGAGCAATAAGATTAGCTAAACAAATAAAGATCCGAATTTTAATTTTAATAAAAACAATTTAAGACTATTAAAGCAACTTGTAGTAATGTAACGGCTTTTTAAACTATATTTCCGTGCAATAAAATTAAAAATAATAACTGTTCCTAATAAACGTAGTAAAAAGGAAATGTGGTTAGTATTTTTGATTTTGGTAGAAAAAAAAAAAATCAAAATTCGTTAATACTCTATAGCAGGGGTGGCCAAATTGCGGCTCGCGAGCCTCATGCGGCCCTCGTCATAGTCGTATGCGGCTCGCGGTCTTATTTACAAAAACCAAAATATTTTAATTTTTTTATATACATTTATAAAAAAAAAATAAATTTTTTAGAATAATAAATTAAAAATTAAACATAAAGTTAAATTTGTTTGCGTGGTATTTTTTTCATTTCTACTTTTGTAGTAAGCTTCTTAAGATCTGGTTGAATTGATGTAAGAGTAGTTCTTAGTAATTCTGTGAGATAATCATTAGTCAAATTTTAACGATATTTTGACTTAATTATTTATATATATATATATATGTTTATCGACTGTTAGCTTTCTTAATTACTTTTGTAGTATAAAAGTATCGATTAGATAGTTTGACTCTTAATATAATCTTATTAATACATGTGACTCGTGTACATAGTCATGTTGGCCACCCCTGCTCTATAGGTATAAAAATTTTAGTAAAACTGGTCGTATACGTCCGTATCACAAATTATATTATAAGTATATATTGTAAGTCGTCGTATGCGGTATACCCGCGCATATGCTCCACTATTTATAACTTAATACAACGATCATTAACTATAAAAGTAGTCGACCGTAATTAAAAGTGTATGGTAATATTATATTGAGTGAAAATAAGACCACTTCGAAATCGTCTGAAATCGACCTAGTTACTTCTAACTAGCTGTTGTTCAGAAGTATTGATTTATTTTTTAAGTATGTTCTTACCCATTTTGCATTTTTATAAAACCTTTTTTATCTAAATAAAATCTAGAACATAGTATTAATTCATTTAGTTACAGTATAGGAAATACTAATTTGTAAGAACTAACCGAAAAAATAACTAATTTTCAAAATTTTGACAATTTTTATCTTAACTTTTTATTGTTATTTTTCGAATAAGAATGTGTAAATTTCGTGCAAAAAAAAACTGTATTCAAATAATATAAACGTATATTTATTTCGACGTGCGATGAAAAAAAGTCATGCGTTTGGCCCTTAAGAATTTCGATATGTTGAACTCTGTAAAACCAATGTTAACTTCAGGGGGTTACTAGAGGAGGGTATTATCCCTTAAAGAAAAATCTTTACCTTTCACTCGAAAAAATGTATTAATTTATTAATTATTTACTTCTGTGGCAATCCGCATACCATATACTCTCCCGAAAACGTACGACAGACGGGATAGATCTAATCCTGGATAGACGACTTGAAGTAAACACTACTGTAAAATTATGAAAATTATATCTGTAAACGTGAAAACTGGTGATGGGAACAATCGAATGATTAGTTGTCAAATAGTCGAAATACAATAATCGATTGATTAGTTCTTACTCCAAATAAAGATAGGTAATCAAATGTGTAACCGATTAAATCATTTTAATGCATTACGATTAACATTATTTGAACTAGCTAATGGTTATATAAATAATCGAATGATAATCTACATTCTAACTATTAATATTGCGAAATACTGAAATTCCTTTTCAATACAATAAATTATATTATGATTTAATATTTCTTCTGAGTTTTAAGTATTAACTATTAGGTATAGTTTATAAAATTCAATATTATAATTTATAAATTATAAATCAAACTATTAACTATAAACTATTGTAATGTCACATTTATTTGCATTCAATTGTTTTATCATTCGAATTTTGACAAATTATTAATTTAATTCGGTTCGATTATTTTATTATTCTAATGATTTTTAAGTAATCGAATTAAATCAGTTCTTCGAAAAATCGAATAATTCGATTATTTCATTCGACTATTCCCATCACTTGTGAAAATATGAATACATACATATAGATTTTATGGTATAACAGAACACAATATTAATAATAAAAAGTTATTCATTTTCGTTTGTAACTATAACTAAAAATCGTACGTAATATATTACATAAAATATAAACATACGTAGAAGATAAAAATATGTACATACGGATAATACAGTCATTAGTAGGGAACGGATTTATATGTAATAAAAATACATAAATATGTACATATGTATGTAAGTATAATTTATAAAATATGTACTAAAACCATCCAAATATGTAGGAAAAAAATGTAAAAAAAAAAAAAATTATAATTATTAAATTATCAAAATGATTTGTTGCATTGAATTATTACAATATATTTTAAATTATCAAATATTAAATGTCGCCTATTAAATCTGAAAATATTTTTAAAACGGCTAAATGATCGTTCCACATCAACCTACATCGGTTGATTTAAGCATATTTGAAGGGCATAATATTAGAAGGCGATAATTCCAAATTTTTAGAAGGGTGTCTGCCACTAATTATGTCATTAATTGATTTAAAATCAATATGGCCTGAAATTTTTTCTGTAAAAACATGAATTTTCTTTTTTACTACTTCTCCTATTGGTCCGTTTACGAGTTTTCATTTTGCAATCGTTGATTCGACAATTTGCATACTTTCATTCAAGGACATATTTTTGTTTCTAATTTTGTAATTGTATGTGCAATAAAACTAAAATTCACTAAGATGAAAATTAAATTTGTTTTCAATGTTTCATTTTGCATAATATTTTGAGCTTTTCTAATAGCGATAAAAGTTCTGGATCTAAATTTGAAATAATTTTTTGTATTTTTGTACGAAGAAGACGTATGAATGATGAAATAATAAAATATGTTTAAAAATATTTACAAATTAGTGAAATATGTAAAAATATGTAATTATACCAAAATATGTAAAAATATTTAAAATAAAAGTAGCATCATATTAATAGGAATGATTTAAATCATGAACATTTCTTATCAAATTTTAAATATCTCGTTTTAATAAAAATATGTGTTTACATATAAATCCGTTCCCTAGTCATTAGTAATAGTCAGGTATACACTCATGTTTAATAATAAATTGATCTTAAACCACTAGGTAGCATAAAACATTTATTGAAATGTGTAGGTACCTTATTGCACAAAATGCAATCTGCATGCATATAGTAATTAATTACTTTATTATGAATTGCGTACTGTAAGTGTTATTTTAGTACTGATATTGAATATGCATTATAATTTATACGAGTAATATCGTTGTGATAGATTTTTGTACATTTTTAAGTATAAAATACCTACGTATGTATCGGTATGTATTAATCATGGATACACACGGGGCTCACGTTTACATAAAATATAATCGAATTTAAAAATAGGTACGTTTCGCGGTCTAAAAATACGATTCAATCGAATATTAAAGTAGGTACACGCGTACTAGTCAGCTGCGGTACTTATGATCTGGCAATGTAACTAACGGACGTAATATTGTAGCTGTGCATGATCTTGTGTCCAACAGTAGCCATATGTGTTAGATAATGTACTGCATGGAGAATACCCGTACCGATTCGCAGTTGATGCATTTTATAATGATTTATTTTTTCCTATTCCGATTTTCTCAAATATTATCGGGCAAATCGAAGAGATCGAGTAAAAGGTGTTATCGTTTTTCTGCATTAATAAAACATTTTTCAGATGTCACAATGAATTAGGCAGGTAGGTATTATAGTACATAGCGAAGACATTAAATTGTATGCTTTGTGGAATAAAACCAATAATACGTCGTTCTTTTGATGTCCTCCTTAATAACACATTGACTTTTATACATATTCCCGAATGATATAATAATATCCAACAATAAATACCCGTGTAACTTTTAATATTTTCTGTATTTTCTTTTTAAAGGTCTCTCTTCGGCTTGTAAACCGAGAATAAAGCGTTGTATAAATTGCTATACTGCTGGTTATAATTGATAATATCGCCGCGAAGATCACCGTTGCCTTGTTGACTTTCTAAAAGTTCGATCGATCCATGTTTAATTACTTCCACTCAATAATATAATACACTATATTATTGCATAATTATAATATCGAATAACAAAATATGTGTGTTATTACGTAATACGTAGTTGGATCACAATTAAACAAAATCCTATATAATAGTAATATTAATAACAATACAGCATATTTTTCATTGATATTCTAATTTTAACTTTCGGTCTTAATATTTAATCAATTTGATTTAAACTATCACGGTTACGTATTATATGCGTATAATATAAACATTTAAATTTTTAGTGTTATGAATATTTTCATTAATTTATTTTTTCATCGTAGAAAAATTGGCGGAAGCGACTAGAAAATTTGCTAACCTCCAAAGTGACCTGAGAGAGTCGCAAGATGATAAAATCAAACCCAAAGATTCCAGTGGGAACTTGAAGCCGGTAAAACGGAAAATACTCAGGAAGAACACAACGACGCGTAAGACGCAAGAACTAAAATTGGCTTTCAGCGAGTTCTATTTGAGTTTGATTCTGCTGCAAAACTATCAGAATTTAAATTACACGGGATTTCGGAAGATTATGAAAAAACATGACAAGGTACGTACATAACATTACTGTTACGCGATTGGTGCATTTACGTAGTTAATTAAATTACAATATTGAAATTTTCCATATTCGTGAATTTTTATCCAGTTCGAATACAATATTAGTACAACTTTTGAACTTTTTTATTAGTCCTACGTTATTTGAGTCATTTCAAATTAATATTAAAAAAAAAAACTCTACATATTTCTAAAAATACATACTCTGAGAATAATACTTACTAAAAAAATGTTTTTTCATCCTATAGCCAGTAGAAATTTGCATGTATTCTATATGATTTTTCATAATTTTTCGCTAGTCTTTCAATCGTATTGTTTGAAATTTGAAGTATTACATTTATAGATATCGGACCGTGAACGAAATAATTGCTTAGCGAATATTAATATCACAACCGTAAAACTGAAATATAGTTTAAATACTACCAAGGATTAGGTATAAAGGAATCATGCTTCCTGCCGAATTCGACGTGTATATATAAATTATATTAATCCGCTGTCTTATGCGCAGCCCGCGAGTGTAGTTACGATCATGTATATATCCTGTATTTAAGTTGCTGGGTTCCGAAGGCGGTTCGGGTGGCCGTTGGAGATCGGAAGTAGTGGAAAACGCTCATTTCTACTGCAACAAAGATATTGACAGACTGATCAGCGAGACTGAGGCTACGGTCACGCAGGGACTGGAAGGAGGAGACCGACAAAGGGCTATGAAAAGGCTACGGGTACCGCCTCTGGGCGAACAACAATCACCGTGGATCACTTTCAAAGTCGGCTTGTTTTCTGGCGCTTTTGTTGTTATGTTGTTGGCAGTCATCATCACCGGTTAGTAACCTCACAGAATCCGCTCATTTTTTTTCAACTACTTAACCTTCGACTTACATGTATATATTTACAACATTCTACGCGAGTTCCTACATAAATTCTACGGCCGTTTTGAAAATCTGCCGTTCTTCTTCAAAACCATGGGATTTGATCATAAACGAGCTCAAATAACTTATTTTTATGTTTTTTTTTTTTTTTTTGGTTTTAGGTAATTTTTTATTCTTTCGAGATCATTTTTTTAAGTTCAAGTGTGTTTTTTTCAACGCTTTTACGAAACCTCGGTACCGTTTTCGTTGCATTACTTACATTTGACGGGCGATCGTTGCAACGAGTTGTGACAGAAAAACCATCGCAATTAACTTTTATTAAGATTAGGCGCGCGAGATAGAGTAGTAACCCAATGGTTTGTAATAAACACCCGTTGCAGGTCCGCTCCGATCGATTCGATAGAACCGCTTAGGGCGCGCGAAACAATAATGCTCGATAAATGATCGACGACTACCTCCTACCGACTGACCGATTGTTGTGTTATTGTGTGCAACCGCTCGCAGGCATCGCTCACGGGGACAGGAACACCGACTGGCGGGTCATGGTCAGGCTGTACCGGGGCCCGCTGCTGCTGGTCATATTCCTGTTCCTCATGGGCATCAACGTGTACTGCTGGCGGTCGTCCGGCGTCAACCACGTGCTCATCTTCGAGCTGGACCCTCGGAACCATCTCACCGAGCAGCACATCATGGAGCTGGCCACCGTTTTCGGTCTGGTGTGGGCCGGCTCGGCGCTGATATTCCTGTACAGCGAGGCGCTGCACATACCGCCGTACATCAACCCGCTCATCCTGGCCGTGCTCATGATCGCGTTCCTGTTCAACCCGACGAAAACTTTGCGGCACGACGCTCGTTTCTGGGTGCTGCGCGTCGCGGTAAGGATCACTCGACTAATATTTGCGACGCGCGCGCGTTTCGTTCGATTTATTCTTCCCCGAGCGTTTTCGCTTTTCGTATTGTTTTTTACGTTGCACACGACTGCGCAACTAGTGCTACGTACTAGTGCTCTGCACCACGGTCCGTTATTTTAAAGACCAGACCGGACTTCAAATTTTACCATGGGACCGAAGTCGGACCGGACCGCACGCAAACGTTAATCAAAGATCACCATTGGACCGAACCGACGTCTTCATATTATTTTAGACCGGATCGGACCAGTAATTAAATAACATTTAATAAAATAGACCGGACTGTCGGTCCGATCTTAAAACATTTTGGACCGTTTACGGACCGGTCCGTAAGGTTCAGTCTGTATTAGCCCAGGCCGTATCATATGATGCGTTTAGTATTACACTGGACTGGACTGCCCGACTTGCCCGACTTTATAAATAAAAAATATATAACTAAATTTGCAGGTTTTTTTCGTTTTATTTGTTTACGTAACAATATCTGTATTTAGATTTTAAGTACCATGATTGGGACCGGACTGAAAATAATGCGTTTGATCTAAGGACTAGACCGAACTACTCCTAAAAATTATTTAACCGGACCAAACCGACGATTCGATATTTTTTGTATGTTAGGACCGTAATAGACCGGAATACTAGACTGCTCCGGATCGGATTGATTAAAACCGGACCATGGAGAGCACTACTACGTACGTACCGAGGCACGATGGTGAACGATTTGTTCGATTGCAATTGTAATTTTTCTCGTTTCAATGTGGTAACGATTTTAGTTACGTCTGTACATACACAAGAGGGACACGTTTTGGTTATACCTAATAGACATAGAACGAGGTCGAAATTCTTAAACCTACAGTCGACGAGAATGATTATTTTAAAAATTTCGCACTAAATTTGAATACATTTAATTCGTAAACGGAATCTTCGCGAAAGCATAAGGATCTTCGGGCCCGACCAGATAACTTTCTTAGTGAACGCGAAGAGGAACGTCACCGTCGCCTCCGATCCTTTCTTATCTTTGATACAATCGTCTTCGGCCATGTAGGCGATTCATAATGGCGTACTCTTGTGTTTTAGGTACGCATACTGTTCGCCCCGTTTTTCTACGTGGGCTTCGCCGACTTTTGGTTGGCCGACCAACTGACCAGTCTGGTTCCCGCGTTGCTGGACTTTCAATATCTCGTGTGCTTCTACCTGACCAACGACCAGTGGATGACCAATAAAAGTAAAATCGCGTATATTATATCCGCGTAGTAGAAGTTGGTAAACGCGAGGCCCCCGGCATATTTTTCTCGCGACTCGTCTGACAAAACACCGATTCGATAACGTATTACGCGGTTCGGTGTCTGTTGACACAAAACGCGCAACCTAATAAACCTCTCGACCGACTTCGTCGTGACGGCATGATCACCGCGGCGCATGTATCACACGAATTCCACCGCTATAAATGTATTGTTTTTTTTTTCGGTTTTTTATTTTTTTTTTAACCGCTGAGCTGCAGTAGACTAGTGTTTTCCCGTCGGCCAGGTGTATGCGTTGTAGGGTTCATGACGTGTAATACGACGACGAACCGGCATAAACTGTTCGTCCCTGTACGTTGCAGCCATCGACATCGACGGTTCGAAGTGCGTGGAGCGCGTGTGGCTTCTGCGGCCGTTCGTCGCGTGCCTGCCCGCGTGGTTCCGGTTCATGCAGTGCCTGAGGCGGTACAGGGACTCGCGGGAAGCGTTCCCTCATTTGGCCAACGCCGCCAAGTACGCCACCACCTTCTTCGTGATCACGTTCTCGTTCCTGAACCTCCAGTACGCAAGTAAGACGAAACCGTCCGGCCCGTGTCTGTGTGCCCGCGCGCTAATAATACGCCTCGTCCGCCCGTTGTTTTGTGCGCACAGAGAAACACCCCAAGGAGGACTCGAACGTGTTCTTCTACCTGTGGATATCCGCGTCCGTGTTCAGCTCGCTGTACTCGTACGTCTGGGACATAAAAATGGACTGGGGACTTTTCGACCGGAACGCCGGGGAGAACAGGTTCCTCCGCGAAGAGATCGTGTACTCGTCGACGGTGAGTAACGCTTAAACACCCGCGAAACACGAACAGTTGCCGGATTAGGAACGACTGACGTCCCCGAATCGCGACTAGTGGACCGCGCGGATCTATGTGCATTAAAAACTAACTGAATTCGCGGTGAAAAATCTTAAATATGCACTGAAATGTGCGCTCAAAGTTTAGCAAAAAAAAAAATATTTATTTTTTGCTCATTTAATTAAAACAATACTTAATAAAGTATATTTAAAATTGGAAGTACTTTTCTTTCTTTTTAAGCAATTTATTTACCAAAATCATTTTGTAAGTAGTTTTAATCTATAAGAAAAAAAAAAGGAATTGATTCATATCAAAAATATGTCACTAAAGATTGCATTGTATGACGATAGTTTTAAACATATTTTCAAAAAACCATTGAGAGGTGTGTCAGTCAACAAATTGTTATACCTTAAAAATCATCTTTCTTCGTCTACACAATAAGAACGTATTTAAAAATATATAATTTGGAGATGAATCTTCGCTGGTTGGAATTTATTCACTTCCACCATTTAACATTTTTTATATTTTAGTAATAAGTGTGTCCTAGCCTTCGTTTTCTATAATAATTTTATAAATTTTAAATTTTTATCAACAAGTTTACCACTTAAAATGTCTAATAAATATTTAAAAAATATCTAAAAAAAAAAAACATCAAAGTACACACTAATAGATGTTACAATAGATACAATTAAAATAAACGAAAAAGTTATACACCGTTTTAATCACTGACAACATAACGATATAATTGTAAATAACGTAAAATGCAATTATTTTTTCAAATGCAAGCCCTGGTGACATCCTATACACCGATAAGGCCTCTGAAAAAAAAATTGTTTAATATGAGTTCGTATACGAGTAGCTTAACATTTTCCGTTTCCACATTTTAATAATTTTTATATATAAATATTGCTATACAGCTAATTTTTTTTTTTTTTCGAAAAAATTGATATTTTAATTATTCGTGCCATATAATTGCTTTTTTATCGATTTTTTGTGGCATCCCTATAATGCAGTTAACACAATATCCAAAAATAAACTGAATATAATTTTGCAAAGGCCCTAATATGTTGTTTTTATTTTTAGGCATTTTACTACATCGCAATTGTGGAAGATTTTGTCTTACGTTTCGGTTGGGCGCTATCAATGTCTTTAACCGAAATGGGTTACGTTCACGGTGACTTGATGGTGTCGATTTTGTCACCCCTTGAAGTAATGAGGTTAGTTTTCGATTTTGTTTAAATGTTATTCAGTTTAATACTATTTTAATTACAATTAATTAATGTTGTTACAAGTTCAATAGTTTAAAATCCATTATATATTATTTGCCTTCAACGGTATAGGTATATAACTGAATTTGTTAATGTGTTCGCATTCTTTGATTTTCGCAGAAATCTATTGACTCAATAGGCAATTATTCAAAGCACCTTGTGGCTTAAACACGCATAACTCGTATAGTTGTATAATTCTGGTGTTATGTAATAAATTTGAAAAAATATTTCGAGTTATATTTTCGTTACCTTTACACCCAATTTAACATTAGGAATACAACACTATCTGTTAAAACGTAATTCTTTTATAAACCATGAACAAACCAATTAATCGTTGAAGTATCATCATTCATTTCTATGATTGAGAAAATATAGTATTCGTTTTCAGAATTTCAGAAATACTTAACATAATTTATGAAGTATTCAAGGTAAAAGTAATTGAGTTCATATAAGTTATGATTTCTTTTTATACTTGAAATTCTCAATTGATTACACTATATGCATATCACTTGAATTTTCAAGATAATCTTATGTTATTATTTTAAATTTTAGTCTGTGAAGAATAAAGGTATGTGAAGTTGGCCTCTCACTTTGTCCTATTAGTTTCAAGCATATAACAAATAATTGTAAATGCAATTTTGGAATTTGTTAATTGCCAGGGAACTTGGAAAATCAAAATCAAAATGGGGGGAACTACTTCATGTAGCCCCTCATTTCGTCCCATCATTGAAATTTGTAAATCCCCAGGGGACTTGGAAAATTAAAATTGTTAATTGTTAAGACAAATAAAGGGGGGGGGGAACTTCACGTACGCGAAGAACAATTATCTTTAAAACACCTGGGTAAAAACATTAAAAACATTAAAAAGTGTTAAATTTGTATTTTATATTCCAAAGTAATTAATACTTTGATTGTGTCATGATTATTAATTTGCATTGAAAAACGTGAAAGTATTGTTGGTACAGGTATTCGATTTTGAGGATTAATAGAAAAAAAAACAGAGAATTTAATTATAGATAACCTATTAAATATAGATAAGATAATTTTATTTTGTGAAAAAAGAGTGAGAGTATAAACCTAACATAATAATTCATCACTAATAATTAAACACAACAGGTAAGTCATCAGTTTATCAGTTATAGTATAAGGTTAATTGAGTTTTTAACCTAAGTTAGTAAATATATTATGCGATAAGTAATAAATAAAAATATGTTCAATACTATTTCGTTCAATAATTAAATTAACTGATTGATTACAATCACGTGAAAACTATTTTCCTAGGTTTTTTGATATTTTTTAGATACACAGTTTTAAACATAGTCATATTTTATTATTTAGTGCATAATATTTTATAAATTAGTGGATGTGTACATTTTGGAACTAAAAAATCGTTTACGATCGATAAAAATTAACAGCATATATATTTTCTTGCGTTTTTAAATGATTTTTCTAAAGGAGAACTAAGATTGTGCATATAAACTCATAAACAGTTATTTGAATGCCTCCATTATCTATACAGCACTTTAATAAAACATACAAATTGTGATGAATGTGTAGAAATGAATATTAGTTGATTTAATCATTGAGTCCAACGTGTTATATTAATTATTTGTGTTCGCCTTGTTTTCAATTAAATCGCGATAAATCAATCACAACAATTTCTCAACCTTTTTCTTAGAATTTACGGTTTGATAATCGTACTCAAATTGCTTTCGTGTGTTTAGCAATACTCTTGTTCGTGGTTTCATCGGAATTATGATGGATATAACGCGTGCGCGAATCGAGTAAAACAAAATTGTTTTTACGAAACAGTAATGTATTTGAGATTAAAATCGAATATTTAAAACACTGATTGCAGGAACGTGTTATTTACGTATCGATAAATATTGACGATAAAAACAATAAAATTTCTCATTGCATGGCATATGCCATCTGTACATGAACCGTTTACGCTCGTATTACGTAACGACGTGTACGTGTGACTTTTTTTTTGCCATTTATACTATAATTTTTTTTTTTTACGTCCTCGGCAGGAGATTTGTTTGGAATTTTTTCCGTCTGGAGAACGAGCACTTGAACAACTGCGGTCGATTTCGAGCGGTCAGGGACATATCGGTGGCGCCCATCGACAGCTCGGACCAGACGCAGATCCTGCGGCTGATGGACGAGCGGACGATGCTGCCCGACTTGAACCGGAACCGGAGGAACAAGGTGCCGGGGACTGGTGGGATCGGCAAGAAAATCCCAAACCTCACGTTCCAACCGAGTCGGTCTGTGGACGAACAGGCGTCGCTCATCCTGGCCAGCCTAGGCACCCGTTGATTACGGTGACGTGCAAAAGCACATGACAGTAATTGTACACGTGCAACTGTCGTTGCGTGGCTTATACATACTATGATAATAATAATAATAATAATACTAATACTAACAATAGGTGTATTATTAGTATTGACCGATCTAAGGCGAATGTCCTGCGACCACGTGTTGCCCACGATGAGGACATCCGGTCATCCGGTTGCATTCGCGATCTGCGCGCACTGCAATCTTCGTTCCGTACAATTGTTAATTATTTTATTTTTTTCGTCTCCTATTTTTTCCTCTACCAGTTTCCTAATAATTGTTTACTAGACTTTCGTGTTAATGGATTACGATTTATGACCATACGTTATATTGTAATTATTTTTTTTCATTTTTTTCAACCATTTTGTACTTCGACTATGGAACTCCATACGGGGTTCGCGTGAAACCCTATCACTGTCGTTTAGTACTTGCATTTAAGTGCATTTTAGTGCGCTTACACTAAATCCATGTGCTGCAGGTGTATTCAAAAATCGAGGTAAAACTTGTTGGTTTCTCGTCGCCGTGAATGCACAACACATTTCAGTGGCGCCCACAGGTTTTCCATGAACCAATGCATTTATATTTAGAGGGCCTCCGAATTAATTTTGCTCTACATCCATACGACCATATTAGTTTGATTGAAATAATTTTTTTTCAAATGCATTTTCAAATGCATGTTCACCTTAAATACATTTAAAAATATTGCGATTTCCAGTATAACATTTTTTTAATAGGGGTTTGAATTTAAAATTTTACCCTGACACTAACTACAAACACAATCAAAATTATTATAACTATCTATATTAGTTATTATATATTTATATTTCTTTGCATATTTGACATTGCCAACTGTTTACGTTTTATTCAACGATCTAAAGATCCAGATGAATAGTTATGTATTTATGGTGTTTGTTCCAGAAACCAGAGTGGGGCCCCCAAATGTATGTAGGTTCCGGGACCCACGAGAAACGAGTGCAATTGCACCACTTGTTACCCTACGTGGGCATCACTGACACGTTTCTATTTCCACAAACTGCGTTTCATTATAATATTTATATGCATTTATCGTTTTATTCGTATTTTACTGATGCCAACATGAAGCACTCATCGAAAAATGTTCAAATCATTTGCACGTGAAATTATAAATATTTTCTCAAACATTTCTTTAAACAACTGAAATATTTATAAATACGTATTTCTAAATTTCAAAAGTACAATTATTCTTCATGAGTCGGTAAGTTCTCTCGATAGTACTACAATCGATTGTAATAAGATCAACATTTATAAAAGTGAAAATCAAATTTTAATCAAACAAAAATACTCGTCTTATAAAATGTGTCTAACTTTATATTTTTTAAATCCATTTTTTCAATCGTTAGTCATTAAAATATATATAAAAATGTATGAATGGATTAACAGTGAAATACATTACTACACATTTATAAAACTATTGTGAAATGAGAGATTTTATAGAACATTCCTTAACAAATCTTGATAAAAAAAGAAAAAAATTAAGTTATTTACGTTCATTGTTCATTTAAATAGTTAGAATTAATTTAATTTCAGTTATTTGTACTATCTTTAACGTTTCACCATATCGACTTGGACAAAAGTACCTCACAAAAATCATTGTTTTATATTGGAATAAAACAACAGTACCTATTATTTTTTATTTTATAGTTATTAAGTTTTAGTTGATAACAACCGGGAAATAATTATTAAACGTATTATTATTTACTTTATACTATTAATTTCAAATTTAAATTATTAGAATATTGATATATCTAAGTCATTGTCTCTACAATTTTACGTTAAATTCAAATGGACTCAACGAAAATTGAAAAATTACTGAAAACATTGTATTACAATAAAATATTGGAAAATTAAGTTTTAATATCGAAAACGATTTTACATTCGAGTTCATAAATATAAGTCAGAATTAAAGAGATAATGGATTTATCATAAAAAAATTAAATTTAATACAAAACCTTTTGAAAGACTTATAAAATAATATTATATTTTAATATTTATAAATATACTATTGTACACTGACAACTATTTTTGGTCATTAGTTTTATATCGTATTCTTCGAAGGAAAAAGGAAATAAACTGTGAAGTCGTGTAACTAAACGTTTTCTTATTCTACCCGTAAAACATATAACTTCTTATTTTCTTATTAGTTCTTCAAACGAGTATTTATAATTTGTAATATACCTATATATAATGTATTTGTAATTATGAATCATGAATATATGTCGTAATCCTTACGGTATGTAAAATAAGTTAATTTAGTGTCCTAATACAATTTAAACACAATAACTTATCTTTATATGTATATTATCTTTTTAACTTTTTATAATTGTTTTTTTTTTCCAAAATTTAAATATTAATTTAGTATACACTCTTAGTTTACGCTAGCATTAATAAGAAAGTAACGAACAAATTCCTATTTTTCTATTTCAAAAATAACAAAAGTAATAATGTCAATTTTTTTAATTCTTATCCTTTATAAGGTATATAAAAAATAATATATCTTTATTTAATCAAATAGTGTATGTTTATGTATGTTACCTTGGGATAATAATCCTTATAAAATAGAAACATTTAATAGTTATCATTGAGATACAATTTATTAGTTGTTAGTTATTACTATTAGAACTTACAAGGTATTGTTAAGTAATAAAACAATTTTAAATTTTACAAGCCAAATGTTACGCTCATTATTTTTATTATTGGATATAATTATTATGTTAAAATGTTTATTGTTTTTATTCATTCATTGGCGACGTTTAAAGTATTATTCAAAACCATCACTAATGCTGGTGTTAAGTATTATAAAAATAGTTTTGTTTGTTAGCAATTTATTTACCTGAATTCAAAAATAAAATGCTATTGGCATATTTATGATCATTAACTTTGTATATGTGTATTTGTGTTTATGTTTGAGTGTACGTTTGCTGTGTCATATACGTTTTCAGTATATGTTTCGCGCAACAGAGCCGACAAACATCGTTTGATTGGAAAACAACCAAAACCGTCTATTTCAACGCGCGTGAAGGTAATTCGTTTGTTTCACAATCAATTCAATCGAATATGAATATTCGTAGTCCTTACAGTCCTGCGAGTGTCACGAAAAAAAAAAAATCGCATTATCTGTATTGTCTCGGGTTATACCGCTATAACTTCGCGGGACGCTGTACAATCGAACGTCTAAAGATTTTGTAGATCGAACGATTTTTGCGTCCGAGGCACGCGCACGCGTCTCTAGCAACTCGTGTTCCGAACGTTATTTGCAATCGTATCAAAACGTAAAGAGAACGACGCGAGCGTGCGAAACGATTAGTATACAGTTCGTTTTGTTTTGGATCGCTTCGATTTTCTCAGGTACGAGATCAGTCGATGAATAATCGTATCTCCGTGTACCGTGTATCGCATTAGCGATGATTTAAATTCGTTTTTTTTTCAAAGCGTCGTTAGCTCCTAGACGTGTAGAAATATTAACAACTTTTAATGCGTTGCGTTTGCTGACCTTATTGCCGCGTTGAACCTGAATAATTGTCGGTGGAAAACGTTTACAACCGTTTCGAAACGAGCAAATTGTTTTTCATCGGTATGCGTGTGCATTTGAATACGATCGTTATCGGCCGAACAGACGTGCGACTAAAAAAAAAAAAAAAATTATTAAAAGAAAATCCCCGTCGAAGTCCTTCAAATGTACGTTTCGGGTCGAACAATAAAACCGACTGTTAACGTGTACGCACGCATTGTGTTGTTCACAAACGATTTCAGCTAGTATCCATGTGCATCACTGCCGCCACCGCTGCTATTAATTACGGTTCGTAATCGTTTATTAACTCGCGAGCCGTTTTCTCGATAGCTAATGAACTCGCCCACGTGAAGTTTGCCAATTATTACCGGGTGACGCAATGGGCTAAAAGTGTGAGCGAACAAGAAAAAAAATAAAAATAAATCCGAAAAACGTTTGCGAAAACTGTATGCCATCAATAACATACGTTAATACTACGAGATAAATCGTGTACACCCGTCGCACATCCTAACGCGTAGTTATAACGGCGGGTGGTTCGTCGGACGATAAGTGCGTTTTATTCATCACATTACGGGCGTGCCTAAAATGAAAATCGCCGAACAACTGTTTATCCGCAATACCTACTGCATAGCGTCGTAATACGTATCACCTTCATCGAGGACCGGTCTTGAGACCGTCGAAAGTTTCCCGGCGTTTTTCGCGGTAACAAACAGCGCAACCCCAGCAGCCCGCAGTGAGAACCGCGAATATCAGACGCACATCGGTACACGTGCCCATTTATAATTGTAACGTTCACGTCATATTTCTAAACCGCTTTCAAAAAAAAAGTACTTGGCACTAGTCCTCCCCCCTCCCCTAGTGATAATCGAATGCTGCCCAGTGGTGGGCGATCGAGCCAGCGAATTCTCATTACGACCGTAGTGACAGGAATTGATTTTCCTTGTACGTTCGTCTGCAGAAGAACACCACGTCCACGAACTACGATGGTTACCATGATGTGCCACTTAGTGAAAATTACTTAAAATATGTTCTGGAGCACATTGCGTGGGTCACGGGCGGAGTTTAACACACGTGCACGGTAGGCGCTTAAATATATATGAGTGCGTGTTATGTACGCAGCACTACCACAGGCGCAACTAGGGGGCGCAATAGGGTTCAAACGTAGCACTCCTGTTTTTATTTTCAGATTCTATATAATCTATAGTAGTTACAGTAAAATACCATTTAATTTTATTTTCAGCAATTTCAGCACCCTCAATATTTGGGCTATAGCTGCGCCCGTGAGTACTACGTGCGCTGATGTACAGTCGATTTCCACAACGTTTTCGAACCCGCGTTAGGGCTTTCTTCGGGTTCGTGACCGCTCGTTACACGCGAACGCCGTACAGTTACGTGGTTAACATACGGCCGACGAATCTAGGCTCCAGGACGAAAA